GTTGTGGCAGGGCTGAACTTCCTGGTCCTGTCCAGAGACACGTGGCCTCAGAACTGTTGCAGGCAACCAGATAACATGGAGGCAAATTCCTTGTCCCTGTAAGGTTGCATATGAACAAGGGGACGCCTAATGTTACAAATCTTGTCACTCATATTCTTTCTCATGAACTGAGATGCTGCTGTACAATCAAATGTCTTCCCAAAGATTCCAGTGTCCTTGAGTCTCTCTTTATTCTCATCTCAGTGTTCACAGAAGATACCATGGGAGCGCTGGCTGGCCTTGAGGATAAGTAAATGATTTCCCATTTCCTGTCCAAGATTCTGTGCTATTCTGTATTATAAAAAATAAATCGTGCCACTTACCTCTTCATTCAACTTTTGTTTTCTTTTCAAATATTCTTCTCTTTCTTTTTCTATTTGCTTCTCTATATCTTGAACACATTTTTTTTGCAATCTTATTTCTTCTCTCTCCATATTTATTTTGGTATAAGTCTCATTGATGTAAATAGTGGTACTGGCTTTTTCTTCCATTGTGTGGTTGAGTGACAGGACAATCTTTTCATGCTGCTTCACCAGCTCTTCTTGCTCTTCACTAGGAGAAAAAAAAAATTATTCATTGCATGAAAAGTATGGCTTTTAAGAAAGGAATTTGAAGTTTGGTGAGATGAACCACCACAAAGAGGGAAATCGTAAAGGATACTGATTTTAGAGTTGTATTTATATTAGTGATTGCCTAAACTTGATTGAGATGAGGACACAAGACAAGTGTCAATCTTGTCACTGTTTACCACTGTAAAAATGTCATGTGGTCCAGCCTCACTCCCCTCTCCCCGCTATATACCGAGTAGTAACTATGAGATATTTTGGTTTAAAGAATACAATGATTCAAAAACACTTTTGAACTGGTAAATGAAATCTGGGCAGACGAATGGTTTGATACATAGCATTGCCATATCTATCTTATCATCCAGAGATATAGAGGTAAGCCAAAGAAAGGTAAACATCCCACCACCCTTCCAGCCATCTTTTGATGCCATCACTCAGCAGGGAGGGCCCAGGAGAAAGCTAGCCTTCCTCTGATGGACAAGAGTTAGGGGAGGAGAGGGCCAGGTTCATCTTCACTGTTCAGAGGATACTTGAAACTTAATTTTAACCCTCTTAGGTTCTCTCATCTGCAGCCAAATCTGAGTTTAAGAGGGGACATTAATGTCACACATCAATTGGTTACATCTACTGGAGGAAGATCTTAAGACTGCAAGAAACATCTACCTTGGGGCTAACAATAAAAGATTTGGAGGAGGGATAGTTGGTACCAGTTTCTTTTTTAAAAAGCTCCTGCAATATAAATTTCTTTTTCCTTTTCCTAGTCCCCAGTACTAAAGATGTTAGTTCGGGAGACTGTGTGCAAAGGTTCAGGAAAATAGAAACAGGTTGTTGGTAAGTTCAATTTCCAGAAGTCAAATCCACCACAGAAATGCAATAAAAAAGAAGCCTAGGCCAGATAATGGGTCATTTATCTGACCCATTTATCTTCCTCTATTTGTTAATAGAGGAAGCGTTCTAAGAATGAATCAACCTAAAGATTGAGTAGCCTCAGGGAGGCGAAGTGAAACAAAACTTGTCAAATCAAAAACCCAAATTATGTATACTGGGATGGGTTGAGAAGATAGCACACAGCAACCTAATGCGGAACTTAAGGAAATTACACTCAAAAGCTTTCTTGTATTCAGTTTTTGAAGACTGTCAAGAGAGGACCACCTGTCAGAATGTGGGCACCTTGACATGCAGCTTTTTTTGAAAAATGGGTGCAACAAGTGATTATAGCTTGATGAAGCTAGCTTGTCAAGCAACCCACCTTATGTCTGTGATTTGCCTTTCCATAAAGATTTCTCTAGATCAGTGATTCTCAAAGTGTGGTCAGGACCTACCAGCAGCATCAGCATCACCTGGGATCTTGTTAGAAATGCAAGTTCTCACCCTCACCTCTAGACCTACCAAATCTGATAATTTAACCAAGGGTGTCCTTGATAATTTGTTTTCACAATCACTCCAGGTGATTCTGATGCACAATGAAGTTTGAGAATCTCTGGTCTGTAAGGATGTGATGATATGGCCATCTAAAATGAGTATTCCAGTCTTGGTACATCTTATTTGTTTAGAAATTGACAGTCTAATTTATATAGCAGTCTCTGGTGATTGCAGCTAGCATGCACCATGTACAAATCTGCATTGTGAATCCCCAACAGGGGTTAGAGTATGCAATGTTTCTCAAACTTATGTGATGATGAACTTTCTTTTTCATGGACATCTCTCAGAACAGGTGTTCCGAGAGCCTACTTCAGGAAAGGTGTCCCTGGACTTTGATGTCTCCACCTAATTCCTTGTGCTGGATTGATTGCTTCAGGAATTTTACAGGTCTCCTGGCTGCAGTGGTTGAAAATTTTCTGCTCTCCTTCTCAGCTCTCTATAGCCATCACACACCCCTCATCAGCCCAGGTCACCTTCTACAAGTGATCTTCATCTCTTAACTTGCCCTGCACTAGTTAGGCCAGTCGGCAAACCCCTTAGGACAATTTTCTCACTCCACCCCCAGACCCCAATTCCCTCAGGTATTGAATAAAAAAAGAGTACTTACCCCAGAGATTCATTAATTGCATTCAGATCAAGTATTGTCTTCTTCAGAAGCTCGATTTCATTATTCATCCTTGTAATTTTCATTTGTAATTGATTTATCTCAAAAAGATTTAATCTGCGAGCATCTCTGACACACTCTTAAAAGTAAGTGGAAATGTTATTAAATTATTTGAGAAACAGCACAATCGTAGATACTGACTTTTCAAATAATGAACAAATTGTCTTTCTTTGAAAAATTCTTTTAATTATATTCCTGTATCAGACACCTCTTACCCCTTTAAACCCTTGTGACCTTATCTATCAATTATTTCCCTTATTTCAGCTTCTGCTATGGTGACCAGCTTTTTATGGGCTCTGAGCAACTTCAGACTGGAACAGTGTGACAGCACCTGATTCCTGTCTTTTCTATTCACTTCTCACCTCCTGCCTAGGACTTCTCTGTTTCCTTTACCATGGGAATTCCTTAGACACCCACACCCATGCATGTATAACCCAAAGTGGGGGAGGTGGGGAAACCCTTGAACCAATGATAGGCAGAAGCCGGTGCCTGGATAGTCCTGAGAAGAGGTAACTCTGTCTTGGGGGCATGTTCTCATACTTCATTAGCTGCATTTGGCGGCAGTCCTATTGCACCCCATATTGGCTCTGCCTTCTCCCTGCTTTGGTCTCCTTATTCCACTTCCCTCTTTATACTCCCTAATAAAATTATAATCCCTAATAAAATTAACCGTGCAAAAGCCATCGCCTTCAGTTCTGCTTTCTGAGGAACCCAGTGTGTTAAAGAACTAATTATTCATCTATAAATAACAAATCAGTGTAATCACATAAGACTTCAGAGGAGTACTTCAGTACATGATAGATAGATGGCAAAAATACACTGATTTTTGAACGTTGCTGTTTATAAAAGTACTGGATGACCCATTTCTACACATCAAATTTCCTAGAAATGAACTGGTACCTTCCCTGAGAGAACTGGGTTACTTTTTTAGGCTACTAGTTAAATTGCTCATTGTCGAAGGGCTTCTTGAACTATCTGTCTCAAAAATGCATATATATCATTTGGGGATCTTGCTAAAATAGAGATTCTAATATAGTAGGTATAAGATGAGCCTAGAGATTCCGTATTTTGTAACAAGCTTTCAGGTGATGCTGATGATTCAAGAACCATATTTTGAGTAGCAAAGCTTTATTCATAAGGCCAATTAAATTTACTTGGTTAAGTATTCCACGTGTATCAAGGATCTTATAAGCTCATATGTAATGTTTTTCCTTCTAAAATATTTATCCTTTTTTAAAATAAAATTTATTGGCGTGACATTGGTTAATAAAATTATATAGGTTTCAAGTATACAATTCAATAATACCTCATCTGTATATTGCACGGTGGGTTCATCACCCAAAGTCAAATCTCCTTCTGTCACCATATATTTGACCCCCTTTACCCTTATCTACCTTCTCCCCTTCCTCCTTTCCCTCTGGTAACCACTAAACTGTTGTCTGTGTCTCTGAGTTTTTGTTTGTCTTGTTCGTTTGTTGATTTCAGTTTTTTTTATTACACATATAAGTGAAATTATATGGTTCTCAACTTTTTCTGTCTGACTTATTTAGCTAAGGATGATAATCTCAAGATCCGTCCATGTTGTCGCAAGTGGCAGTATTTCATCTTTTCCTATGGCTGAGTCATATACCATTGTACATATGTACCACATCTTCTTTATCCAATCATCTATTGAAGGACACTTTGGTTGTTTCCACATCTTGGCCACCGTGAATAATGCTGCAATGAACAGTAAGGTGCATATATCTTTATAGATAAATATTTTAAAATTTTCTGGGTAGATACCCAGAAGAGAGATTGTTGGTCACATGGTAATTTTTTGAGGAACTGCTATACTGTTTTCCATAGTATTTGCATTCCCACCAGCAGTGCACGAGTTTTCCTTTTCCTCCATAACCTCTCCAACACTTGTTATTACTTGTCCTATTGATGATAGCCTTTCTAACAGGTATGAAGTGGTATCTCATTGTGGTTTTGATTTGCTAAAATATTTTCCCTGGCTATAAAAGTAACCCAACATAGAAAATAAAAAACCAAAGAAAATGAAACAAAAACACTCTTAATTCTACCTTTGGCACACAGATTTCTTCTAAGTATTATTTTCTCTCTGCATAGTTTGTTGTATTTTCCCTGCCTAACTAGACTCACACCATGCATATTGTTTTAAAACTGACTGCATCACTGAGGGTCTACTTAGGTCATAGAAATTTTATAGGAAACTGATAGGGAAATTTTAATATAAAGAATTATTAACTATTACAGAGGGTTAGAGTGATGAAGGAATGAATAGTAAGAAGTAAAGAGAACTCTAAAGAATTCAGGAATAGCCGGCATAAGGAGCAGCCACTATTCCTAGGGCTGAGACAGAGTGCCCTTGAGGAAGCAGCATCTGCACACCTGAGATCGAGACCTTGTTAGAGGAGGCTGTGGCTCACTGGATGGTAAAGAAGTTTGTGAAATGCTGGGCTGGCAAACTTGCTGGAAATCTGGCTTCTGGGGTGTTGGGAAACCAGTCCAAAAGAGGTGCCATACTTTAGAAACCACCCGAGAGTGCTGGGGAAGCTGTTCATGGGGAGGTGCCTCACTGATAGCAATCTACCATGAAGTTGCCCAATGGCTACTCGAGAAAGCTACTGGGCACTTCAGACACCTGCATGCTGCAGGACCCTGGCATGGAGAAGCTGCATGCTCTGCAAGAGTCTGCCAAGCTGAGCACCCTGGAACCAGGAAGAGAGCCTCTTCTTCCTCCAATCCCCCTCTAGTGCTCTCTACTAACAAAGCTTAACATTGTGCCAGCTGCAATTTACAGGGTCCGGCTCCCTTAAGACAGAGCAGACAATAAAGGTAGACTTGGATCTGCGAGGTAATAAGTGGATAACTGAAACATCTACTTAAAAAGTGTTTTGTAAAAATTTATTTAGACCACGATTTTAGGTCGGGCTCCCAGGGAAACAGGTTCCAAAATTTGTGTGTAGGAAATTCACTGGGTAGTGCTCTCGGGCACATCTCCTCTGAGGAAATAAGGGAAGCCGGGGTGAGCAGAAGGAGAGGTTAAATGGCGATGTACTTTCGAGCTGTGATGACACTTTGGAGTTGCTCTCCATCAAGTCAAGGGAGGTAGGTCTTGTACTCTCACAGAGACCAATCGGTAGCACCTGGGGAGGGACTTTAACCTGGAGTGAAGCCTTTCTCTTTTGTCAAGGGCAATTCCTGCAGAGGAACTGAGCTGTGCGCCTCAGTCGACGCTCCTGGCAGCTGGAGAAATAGTGCTGGACCCTTACCTTGTACCAAACACAAAATTTAACTCAAAATGGATCAAAGATCTAAATGTAGGAGCTAAAGCTATAAAACTCTTAGAAGAAAACATATGGGGAAAGCTTCATGGAATGATTTCTTGAATATGACACCAAAAGCACAGACAACAATGAAAAAAATAAACCAGACTACATCAAAATTTAAAACTTTTGTGCATCAAAATCGCTATCAACAGAGTGAAAAGGCAGCCCATGGAATGGGACAAAATATTTGCAAATTATATATCTGATATGGGGTTAACATCCACAGTATATAAAGAATTCCTAGAACCCAATAACAACAAAACAAACAACCTGATTAAAAGATAGGCAAAGGACTTGAATAGACATTTCTCCAAGACAGATATACTAATGGCCAATAAGCACATGAAAAGATGCTCGACATTACCAATCATTAGGGAAATGCAAATGAAAACCACAATGAGATATCACTTCACACCCATTAGGATGGCTATTATTGAAAAAACAAAAAGAGGAAATAACAAGGGTCGGCAATGGTACAGAGAAGTTGGAACCTTTGTGCATTGTGGGTGGGAATGTAAAAAGGTGCAATCATTGTGGAAAACAGTTTAGCAGTTTCTCAAAAAATTAAATATAAAATTACCATATTACCATACAATCCAGCAAATTCCCTTCTGCGTATATACCCAAAAGAATTGGAAGCAGCAATTCAAATAGATATTTGTATGCCATGTTTATAGTGGTATTATTCACAATAGCCAAAGGAAACAACCCAAGGGTCCTTCAGTGGATG